GCGTACAAATGATGAGGGGGGAATTTATGAAACTATGCAGTTTTTGCAGACAAAATGTATAGACATTTGAGTCCTCGGATATCGGAAACGGTTGGATGAATGTAAATATATTTTGTTAAAGAAAAAAAAAAGGAATTTATCAGCGATGTTAAAATTCAAACATCCAAGTTCCTGTTTGGTTATTGGCCCGAGTCAATCAGGTAAAACTTCGTTGGTACGCGAAATGATACGAAATCGAATATATGAAGCCCCTATCAGAAAAGTAAAATGGTGTTATTCGTATTCCGCACCTTGGTTTTGGGAAGAACCAGACATTGAATTCATTCAAGGTCTTCCGGATAGATACGAAAAAGGGGATTTGATAGTGGTCGATGACCTGATGCATCGACTAAATGAGAAAATTGCCGATCTTTTTACTGCCGCCTCACACCATTGTGAAGTCAGCGTTATAGTGATATTACAAAACTTATTCCCTCGTTTAAAGGTTATGCGCGACATTAGTCTTAATGCGCATTATATCATTTTGTTTAAAAATGCAAGAGATGTCTCCCAAGTTAGTTGCTTAGGACGACAGTTATATCCTCAGAACTGGCATTTTTTGACGGATGCTTATATAAAAGCAACTACGAAACCCTTTGGTTATTTAGTTATTGACTTACACCCTCAAACATCGGAGGAGTATCGGATGCGCGAAAATCTGTTTCCAGATAAAGACGGAATACTGTGGTTATTTCGTCCGAAATGACGAAGAAGAATTTGAAAAAGCAGTATCATTTCTTGCGAATATTAGCTCATTCCCACCCATCGCAGAAACGTGCTTTGTTACAGACTGCAAATAAGGATCAAATTTTATCTCTCTGCGAAGTTTGTTTAAATATTTTGAATGGAAATATCCCCGTTAATGTACGTAAGCTGAAAAAATATAAGAATCTCTTAAGGTTGCTATCTAAAAAACACGAAAGCATACAAAAGAAAAAAAAAATTTAGTCAACCAATCGGGAGGCTTTTTACCATTGATTGCTCCGGCAATAATATCTGCCTTGGGTGGTATTTTAGGACCAGTTATTAGCAAACGACTGTAAAAAAAATTCTTAATCCCAATTTTGGGCTACAATGGCCAAAAGAGTGGCTCTCATACCCGAAGAATTGGTATCGTCTTATCATCTTCAGAAGCCAGAATTGAGATTGGAAGATGACATAGACACGTTATTAGAAAGAGCAAAATTACCCGACGACATGAAAGCAAAGTTGTTGGGGCAACTAATCACGCGGTATCACAGAACAGTGCACGCACCACCAGAACCTATACGTGTGAGCCTTGCGAATGAAGCGAAAGAAACTAAAGAAGAGAAGGGATTCCAGCAAGTGGAAGATCCTGTTATTAGGGATATTATTCTATCAACACCCCAGAAATTTTCTAGATTGGTGCCTCTGGTCGCCGAAAAATTAAAATCGAGGCTTTATTCATGGAACGATCGCGGAGAAATGATTCTTGACGGTAAAACGATTCAGGGATCCAGTATGGTGGATTTCTTTAATTACCTAATGAGAAATATAAAAAATGCTCAAGAGCCAAGGCATTTCGATGTATTTCTAAAGGCTATCGAAGAAATTAATATACCGCGCTCATGGATAGGGAATCAGAATGTGTTGTCTCGCATGAGAGATACCTCATCGCACTACCCCCTCACGGAAAATAAATCCTCGAGCGGCGAGGAAAATGTCTTTCGATGGCCCCCATCAAATGTGAAAGACTTCGATCATCAAACAAAAAGAAAACAGCAGAGATATAAAGTACAGCAGGAAAGAAGAAGGAGATCCCAAAGTCAAACACCTTATAAAGAGGAATGGGAGGAGCTTTAAACGATGCCGACGCAATTTTAGAAAATATCTATTACGATGTAGAAAACCCCGCTTCGTATGGCGGAGTGGTAAGATTGGCTCGTGCCGCACAACTTCCGTTGAAAACGACGCGTCGATGGTTAATGAAACAGGATGCTTATACGTTACATAAACCAGTTCGCTTTAATTTCAAACGACGGAAGGTGTTGTCTTTCGGCATTGGAGAATTAATGCAATGCGATTTGATTGATTTGTCTAAGCTCTCTAAATATAACGATGGTGTAAAATATTTATTAACAGCAATTGATGTGTTTTCTAAACGCGGGTATGCCATTCCTTTAAAATCGAAGAGTGCAGATTCTGTACTCGAAGGATTTAAGAAGCTATTTAAGGAGACAAATTTTGTGGTGAATTTACAAACAGATGAGGGAAAAGAATTTTTTAATAAAAAAGTTCGTGACTATTTTAGAAGACATGGAATACATCATTATGCCTCTAACAGCGAATACAAGGCGAGTGTTGTAGAGCGATTTAATCGAACGCTAAAATCTAAACTCTATCGAATATTTACTTACACCAATTCCTACAGGTATGTGCATGTCTTGAAATCAGTTTTGAAAAGCTATAATTTGAGTATTCATCGTAGTACTGGTTATGCACCTGCCGACGTGAAGCCGGAACTAGAAAGTGAAATTTTTGAAAAACTGTATGGCTATAGCATAAAACCGAGATACAAATTTGAGGTAAATGACCAGGTGAGGATTTCTAAAACAAGGCGAGCATTTCGCAAAGGTTATTTGCCCAGTTGGACGGATGAGGTTTTTGTCATATATAAGAGATATCCTTCGAGTCCTCCGACATATCTGCTTAAAGATTTAAAAGGAACAGTTCTGAAAGGAAGGTTTTACGAACAAGAGTTACAAAAAGTATTAAAGAGTTCTCACGATTTCTGGAGAGTGGAAAAAATTCTGCAAACGAGAGGTGTCGGTGCTAAGAAAGAATATTTCGTCAAGTGGAAAGGCTTTGATCGACGGTTTAATTCGTGGGTGAAAGCGTCATGGATGAAATGACAGACGAATTCTACGTTACTCTACCCAGCAATGCGAGCATGCAGTATTTCCCTCAAAACAATCAATCATCTTATCGAACAAAACTCGCCTCTCCTCTGTTATTGAACGATTCTTGGGAAGTAGGTCTAACTGAAATTTTTATTCCACGAAATTGGTATAATGTGGGAGAGTATAATAATGACTATGTAATAACTAGGAATGTGGAGAAAAGCATTCCTATTAAATTTTCACGCCATACTTTATCATTTAATTATGGCGTTTTAGTTTCGGTAAACGCAGATGTTTCTCTAGAGGAATTTTTATCAAAACTGAATGATAAAATTAGTACCATTCTCGGTAGAGAGGACGCTGTGAAATTCGTTCTAGAACATGAAGGGAGGAGTATTCGCTGGGTTCTTGCAAATGGTTTCGAAGTACACATTTCTAAAAGAAAAGCTCCTAAAATGTTACAGATGTTTTACTTACCAGATGAAGATACTATTATTATTAAAAATCTCAAGTGATGAGATTCAGATCAATAGCTGAAAATAAAGATCAGTTATTTTCAATCATAAATAGGAGCCCTTCTAGCACGAAACTGCATTTGATTCCGTTAACCTTAATAAAAGCAGATGTATCTAGGGGTCTCTTTGGCGACGTAGCAAAAAATATCCAAGATCTTAAATTGGAAAATTTTGTCACTTTCACCTACGATCAGACGAAGTCCCAACTAGAAATAAAGGTGTCAGAAAACACGGAGCTGCATATTACTCAAGAAAGAGCATCCTCCCTTTTAAGGATACTCGGCGTCCGCGAAAACCTTATAATTTCGCAAACGCGAAAGTTTCCTGTGCTTTTGCCCCTAACTGTGGAGGAGGGGGAAGCTGTGGAACTTATAATTAAAGGATATCCCGAAGTAACTATGACTGAAAAAGAAACTTTACATTTGCATGTCAGCGCAGGCGTATATAAATCACCGGAAACTTTATTTCGCGAATTTCAACACGTACATTTAAGACAATTAGCGAATTCAAAAGTGTTTTTAGAAGTTCCTCCAGAATCGGAGCTGGCATTTGGGAAAGGGCTGGCAGACATGCTGGGATTCGTCAACACCCATTTCAAGAGCGGAAAATATATAAGCGACTATCCTTTAGAACTGGACGGGGGCATTACAGAAATTTTTGTGTACAGCGATTTAATCGAATCACATCACGTTGGAGATGTGCATGTTCCGCTGCTAAGGGTTATTCCCTGCGTGAATGAAAAAAATGATCAAATTGTGAAGCATTATGAAAAAACTATATATTTTCCTTTGCGAAAGCACTATGTGGAAACGATAGAAATAGAACTGAGAACGAGTAGCGGGAAAAAAATTACCTTTACGGGAGGAAAAACATTTGTAGTCCTGTCTTTTCGCCGTAAGAAAACTATATAAATTGAAGATTTTTCAAGCTTTCCTCTCACTTTCTTAAAACATCCTTAGAGAAATGCACTTAAATCAGAAAGAGTGCGAATCCTATTATTGTGCTCAAGTTGGTGGCGGCGGTGGTGTTTACTTTCAAGGTATACCTCACCAACGAGGTTATGGGTTTTTTGGAGATTTGCGCCGATACATTACGCCGTTGGCACTTAGAGCCGGTCGTTATTTCAAACAGTTGATGCAAACAGGAAAGAACGTCTTGTCAGATGTTGCAGCGGGATCGTCATTTAAGGACTCTGCTCGGAGCAGGTTACGTGAGACCTCTAATAAAATAAAAAGTGATATTTTTGAAAAATTACAGAGGGGAGAAGGTATAAAAAGAAAGCGCAAGAGGAAAAATCGTCAATCAAAGAGCAAGCGTTGTAAGACAAAAGCAGATATTTTTACATAAAGATTAATAGTAATGGAAACTCAGGGGGTTATATGCCTTAAGAGCGAATTGGATCTCTTTAATGGTGTCGCCGTACAACTGGGCATCGATTCCTCTTCCTTCGTGGAAATCCACCCCGTATCTTCATTGTCTGATAAGACGCCCATAGAATTTTACATTAGCGGTAATGGTGAACACTATTTGGATTTGGCGCATACGATACTACACACACGACTTAAAATAACGAAAAAAAAAACGATACCAATCTCACCGACGCCGACGGGGTGGCACCTGTTAATTATATTTTAAACACATTGTTTTCCGACTGTTCAATATTTTTAAATGATAAACAGGTTTCGTCACAAGTGAATTATTCTTATAGAGCCCTTTTGGAAAGTTTGTTGTTCTATTCCAAATCAGGTCAAGATAATCTACTGAGTGCTGGCTTATTTGCAAAAGATACTGCATCTAAGCATGATGTTGTGGGAGACGAAAACGAAGGTTATACAACGCGTGCAAATCGTTGCAAGCTTAGCCAAAGCCTCGACCTCGTGGGACCATTGCACTTCGATTTGGCCACTCAACCGAAATTGTTAGTCAACGGGGTTAATGTACGCATTAAACTGGAAAGGCATAAAGATGTTTTCACTTTGATGTCGGCAAACGACAATTATAAAATTAGAATTCAGCTAGCAAAACTATACGTGAGAAAAGTCAGCGTGGCTCCCTCCATCCTAATAGCACACGAAAAGGCTTTAGAAAAAGGAGTTATTAAGATGCCCATTCGTAGGATTGACATAAAAAGTTTTGCAATATCGAGCGGTTTGCAATCGACAACTATAGCAAACGCTTTTATTGGTCAGCTACCCACACGTCTCATTCTAGGTTTTGTATCTAATGCCGCCTATAATGGAAGCATCAACAGAAATCCTTTTAAATTTCATCACTATAACCTAAACTACCTATGCATATTAAATGGGGGACAGATGATACCTTCCAAACCCTATCAGCCCAATTTCGAAAAAACATTTTATGGGCGAAGTTATTTAAGCATCTTTACAGATTTAAATCGATATCATTCAAGCCCCAACATTAATATCTCCTTTGATGAATACAAAGATGGGTATACATTATATGCCGTTGATTTGACTCCAGATATGGCATCTAATGAAAGCCACGTAAGCATAAATAAGAGCGGAAACATAGCCATTGATATCAAATTTGCAGCGGCCTTGCCAGAAACAGTTACCCTGATAGTCTATGCTGAATACAGGAACATAATTGAAATAGACAAGTCACGCGGAGTCACGACAGATTATTAAAAATCATGGACGAAGTTTTGCAAATATACGGAAATGAAATTATCGAACTAGCTAAGGAGGCGGGTGCAGGCGAGGAGGTAATTCGAAGTATAGGCGATATGATGTTTTCCAATAAAATAGCGAACCTGCGCATTGCATTCTTTCTCGCTTTTGCCGAAAAAATTATTGAAATTTTCCCATCAAAGAAACATCAAGTGTACGAAGAAGTGTTTAAAAGCATATACAGAAATATTCATTTCGAACAAAGGCGGTAATGGATACTTTAACTCTGTGTCAATATGCCTGTGGCGACAGTCGAATCAAAAAAACATTTGGAGGTGTATATCCTTCCGATTTCATACCCTTACGAAAGAGACATTACTCCTCATTTATAGTGAATTCGGATCCGCATACTTTACCTGGGAGCCACTGGATTTCGATATATTTTAAGAAAAACAGCACGGCATATTACTTCGACAGTTATGGTCTTGCTCCATCTAACAAAAATATTTTAAACTTTTTAATGACCAACGCTAACAAAACATTTTATAATAAAATATGCTTTCAAGATGATACCAGTACATCCTGCGGAAAATTTGCTCTTTATTTTTTATTTTGTATGGTAAGAGGGTACTCTTTGAAGGACCTCTGCACGAAAGATAAGAAAAAAAATGAAATTTTTATTAGGGAATTTTTTAAAAAAAAAAATTCAAACGTCGCCGCTGTTGTCATGCTTTTCATGCCAAGAAACAAAATTGTGTGTCTTTGATAAATATGCGTGTTATTCCTGCAAAACATCACTAACGCTTCAGAAGTCGACGATGGAACGTTACGGCTATTTGCACACTGGAAACTCCGAAAACAGTCCTGTTGAAGAAGTACACGTTGAAAAAATTAATCATTTTTTCTTTAAAAACCTAAGCGACTGCATTCGTAATGCTCTTTACGATGAAAACACTAGCGGGAAAGGAAATCGTCATTACCTGAAAATTTTGAAGAATGCCGAAGTGGTCAAGCATATTCATAAAGCTGACCATCAACCACAACAACAATATGGATATTGCTACTTATACATTCAAAATGAACAAATAGCTCTTTTTTCGGCATGTAGTAAATTATATAATAGCATGTTGGATTGTGTTTCTTCGAAAAAAACTGAATATGAAAGTGAATGTATAAGAGATGAAAGCTATGTAATTAAAATTGCTTACTTTGTTATTCTGAATGATGATGCTATTGTGCGAGAATTACATCGCACTTGTGTGTAACACAAACAATTTGATCAATAAAAAGGATTTTTTTTCTTTCAAATGCAATTTTTTTTTTTTGTCTCTGAAAAAAAAAATATCAGATATATAGATAAATAATACATTTTTACACTTATTTATGAGCTGCCTTTTTCTATTCCACTGTTTTGTTTTCCGGTAAAAGCATCTGCCTTGAAGAAATTAATAAAATGTAAATTCCTCCAAGAAGATACTAAAACCGGACCTCTTGGATAAGGTCCATTTTTTTATTTTTTTTCTAAAGGATTACAGAAGCTTAATACAAAATAATCATTCTTGTATGCATGATACAATGAAAAAATCAAATGAAACAAAAAACATATTACTGTTGTAAAATATATAAAGGTACCAAAAATTAAAATGAACATTTAAAAAAAAATCAAAACGATTTTTCGATGTAAATCCAATATGGGAACTAACCCATTATTTTCATTACACCATGTGAGATGTTATATTGATAATACAATAAGTAATCAAATGAAACAAAAAGTACATTTCACATTATTACAAACATAAATGGAATCATTAAATATCAACAAAAATTTCTTTCCCTCCCCCCCTCTTTTTCGTCGAAACATACATGGAGGGGGTGTTTATAAAATAAAAATGATTAATCAGAATATTGCCATAATGTATCAGTATTTTTGTTCATATTCGACAGTTAAAAGAAAAGTTTTCTACATAACCTCCATAGCAATTATTATAACAGTGATCATGGTTAATTCGGGGACATTCGTGTATCAAGTTTCCAAAAGAAATGCAACATGAATTCTCGTCGCAAATGAAATACAGAGGACTTTGCTTACATATCTCACACCAGTTATCTTCATTTCGCATATAAGAAAGGGTATCCCTTTCATTATAACATAAGAAATGATTGAATTTTCTGAAAATTTTACATTTCGTTCTGGTAGTGTCTGTTTGACATCGTAACCACAATTCTAAACATTTGTTGCAGCTTTTCAAATAAATATTAGACTCATTATTTTGAACAATTACATGTTTTACAAATGTGATATGTGCAATCTTTAGGTGTAAAAGAAATATAACATCATCATCAAAGAAAAACCAGGCAATAAATTGTTTAGAAAACCACTTATTAAATCGAATTCTTTCATAGAGAGTTAAACTTTCATCCCAAAATACATCTCTGTTCTCTAAGGAGAAACTACTTTCAAAATCAATCCAGAATCGACCTTTCTCTATTATATCTCTTAAAATCATACGAGGAATATTCAGTTCTACATTATACAGTTCAGCTATACATAATATCGAAGATAAAATAGTTTGAATACACATATCTTGCAAAGAAATTGGTTGAAATAAAGCCATATCTTCTGGGTATTCTATGGGAGGGAAACACATTTTTGTTTTTTGTCGATCATTAGCATAAAAAAATATAAGTTGCAAAAATACAATGTCACACTCTACAATAAAATGTTACAAAAAAGTTCCATGATTTTTTTTTTTTAATTCATGTCTTCTTCACGCGTGTTATAGTGACCATAAGACAATGATTGAATTCCATCATCTAACAAATATTTTTTGTCATAATATCCCGAGAGGCTAGCTTTATTTTGAAAAATCGTTTGCAGTTCGTGCTTTTTTGAAATGATTGAATATTGAGAATTCCTAATCAGGGAAGCATTTTCGAAAACGTTTTTATACGTTTCAAATCCAATGTTTTTGAGCGCGCTCCTTTTGATTCCTTTCGCGGTCTTTTTAACAGTATCACCGAAACGAAATGCGTACATTTTGCATTTCAAACCCACAAATTCCGATATGGGGGTGAGTGTCTCACTTTTTAGAAATCCCAGTTTTCCACGGTTCTCTTCATTAAACATTATATGATTGGGTTCGAAATTACTGCAATCCAAAATATTTAAAAAATTCGTTTTTAAATCACTATATACATCTTCAGTTGTTATATAGAGATACAAAGAATCTGTATCTGTGTATAACAACTCGCATTTTTCTTTGTAAAAGTGTTTAAAATGGGAATAGAATAATTTATACATGTGCAACTTCGCTAATTCTAAAACGCTGAAACCTATATAAATCGGTTTATCTAGACACAAATTTGGATTTTTCATTTTGAAAACTGAAAAATTTTCATTAATTATTTCAAAATATTCCAGCAGAGGACTGTTTAATTTTTTTTGGCATTGTTCCTCACTAAAAACGCCCTGTACGCGAATACGTTTCCTAACATTTTGACAGGTTTTTCCATAGAAAGCGTTATTCATCTTTTTAAAGAAAGATTTTTCAAATTCGCTAGACGCATTTTGTCTTTTCATATTATTGAAAGCAATGTATTCTTTAAGCCACGCTCGTTGTTTGAAAGCTAAAATTCTATGAATTTTCTTAATTATTAAACCCTGTTCTACGTAAAACTTTAGATTTAAATAATGAGCGATGTAGTTTTTTTTTTTTTTTTTTTCAAAAAAATTGGGTAATAATTTTTTGCATGGAAGTGTCGTCTCTAACTGAAATTTTTTGCTCAGGGTTTTGGCGTAAGGCGATAGCATGTCAAAAGTGAGTTCAAAATGTTCCGGTGCTAGCGGTAAATCATTGTGTTGGTCATGCAGATGGGAGGGATATAACAGATCGGATTCGATAATATACCCCACATCACCACCTCATTTTCCTTTAACCAGTAAAAACCTCCCAATGGCAGGTGCTGGCTCATTACACACCCGTATAGATTATTTGCGTCTAAGGCTAAGATATAGGCTGTGTGGTAAATCGGGTTTATAACTCTCGGGGATATAAGGATTATTTGCAAGAGCATAACGTCTACCCAGAAAACAAATACCTCCTCGCATTTGGTTTTCAAACCAAATGTATTGATTCACATCTCCTAGAAGCTCTAATTCAATTTTAGACGCTTTCAGTCCGGCATTCCACGTTAATTCGGCAGCCGTTATAAAATGTACAGGATCCAACTGGTAATATTTTAGAGCGGTGCGTCTGAAGGATAAAAATACTTCGGCTAGCAAAATAACATCTGTATTTTGATATAACTCTAAGTAATCGGCAAAAGTGTTACATCCAAACGAATGAAACACGTGTGTGTGGCATGTGCATAATCTTCGTCGGAAACTGCTTCTCCTTGTAATACATTATTAAACGCGCTCTGCGGTGGAAGCGAAGTTTCATCCAACACCGATGTTGACGCAAAATATGAGTAAGGAAATACGCCTTTCCGCAATAACAATTCTCGTTGGGGATTTTTCTCAAAAAATGCATTAAACAATTTAAATTCGTGTTGTGACGTTTTCAAATTCGACACCAAAGTGTCCAAAGACGCATCTAAAAATTGAAACGAATCAATAAATTTCATTTCATCTAGTGTAAACATGGTGAATTTTTCCAAATTCACCGGAATAATGTTAACTTTATTTGCATACATTTTCGGCATGTGTTTTAGTAACAGGTGACTATCATAATTCCTGAAATTATGAATTACCACCGGAATGTAGTTTGACACTTTAAAATTCAAATTACAGGAGCGATGTGCAAGACCTCTCACATGCCCATCACTCCAGTGGCAGTGATCTCTGACCCGAACATCGCCTTCTAAGAAAGGATTCAAACATATATGACATATATTTGAATCGTAACTTTTTTCCGACGTCTCCTGCATCGGTAAACACTCTTTCATCTTTTGCAAAATTTTAGATTTGATTTCGCTCAACGTTGTGAAAAAAATTTTTCCATTACATTCTCTCTGACTCTTGCAAAAATGAATGTTTCTAATGCATTTTCATTTGCAAAGAATACTCTAACGTTTCCCTTCTCTGAAACCCACTTAAACAAGTTTTACAAAAAAAATTTACTCGTTTTTCGTTTGCGTGTAATAGACGATTAAAATTTCGAATACAAAAGAAATGTTTTTGAAAATATAGCAAATCTACTGTTTTTGTCGCATTTCGCTTTTCACTTAATTGCAAAGGTAATATTTCATTTTCCTCATATCCATACACGTTTATGGATACATCGTTCAGGTTTTCAAACATTTTTACATCGCCTAACGCTAAGGGAAATTTGAGGGATCCTAATTTAAAACGTGATATATCCTTTTTATACAAGTAAGCCTTCTGAGGATTTCTAGTGGATTTCGGAAAAACACTTGCGGCAACAGAATATAAAAAACAATTGTCGTCACCACATTTGATATTTAACAACGCTTTTCTATTTTTTAATCCCGTCGGTAAAGCGATGTTTTTACAACCACCGCGATTTTCCCGATAGTTTCCAACGTGTAAGTCAAGGTACTCTAACTTTTTTATTTTCCACCCGCTTCCATTACGCACAAAATTATCTATCAAATTTAAAATCTTTTTAAAGCATCTGTCAATGCTTTCGTAGATTTGGTTAGAGGATAAAATCCTTTCGCAATGAGAACAAAATAAAAAACACTGATTAATTTCTTTTCTTTTTCATCTTTCCCCAGTTTCTCAAAACATATTTTCAAACATATTAAAATCCTGAGTCTTAAACTCGATCTAGTATTTAAAATGTTGTATATGGCAGGGCGTGCCGTTCTGAATATCTCATACGGATCTTTCTGAGAAGCATCGAATGTTGTTCTTAAAGTGCGCAAATAGCCTCGGTGGGCTTGCGCTAACTGAATAAAATTCATCATTTGAAAAAAATAATAAATAAATAATGGAACTTTTTTGTTTACAATATTATATAAAATTCATATTAATTTACTAACTTCCACTACCGCTTTCCAGCAAAATTCAGCATTTTGATATCTTTTTTTTTTTTTTTTTATTTTTTTTATTTTACATACAGTGACTCTTAATCACCCCCAAAGCTTCGATTATACGATCAATACAATTCATATTTATATTAAATCTTTTGGGGGTGGCGGCGGTTTCGGGATACACCCTTACAAATGAAACATAATTGACATTTTTGAAGTCACAAGTTTCTATTGAAACATTTTTTCCAATGTATATTTTAATTTTTTTGAGTTTTTTGCGGGAGGTTTCGCCTTCCTCGGGAGCAAGGTTT